GGATACAACCGATACATTGAGGACTAGAATAGTGTCATCAAATTTTCTTCACAGTGATTTTTGGCAGCAGAATCATTCTTGAGATCAAGGAATTTGTCTTGAACATCATCCGGAATGGTTGCAATATCAAAAGTGCCAGAGAAAGGATTTCTCACCGATTTTCCTTCTTGCTCCTTGAATTCTGGGAAGTACAATTTAAGTTCACTTTTCAGGATATCAGGTGCTAAGTGATATCAGGGCCAAGTATATGACCCAAGGGCCAGCTCTAGCATCTGAGGGGCCCTGTGCAAGATAATGGTCGGGGGGGCCTGTGCAAGATAATCGTTGGGGGCCATGTGCAAGATAATGGTTGGGGACCCTGTGCAAGATAATGGTTGGGGGCCCTGTGCAAGATAATGGTTGGGGGAGCCTATGCAAGGTAATGGTTGGAGGCCCTGTGCAAGATAATGGTTGGGGGCCCTGTGCAAGATAATGGTTGGGGGCCCTGTGCAAGATAATGGTTGGGGGCCCGGTGCAAGATAGTGATTGGAAGCCCTGTACAAGATAGTGGTTGGGGGCCCTGTGCAAGATAGTGGTTGGGGACCCTGTGCAAGAAAACGTGACGTTATGTGAAACAACGTTAAGCGGATTAATTTTTCCCCATAAGAAATAGATTAAATACAGGAGTTACATTCCCCAGCCTCCCTTTGCCCCATGAAAAGCATTTCATATACAGAAAATCATTGCCATTACTGTATTTAGAAAATAGTATATAGAACTTCAGTTTGTATTGGTGCTCACTGGTGGGCGGAGGTGGTAGAGTGAGTGTGTGGTGGGTAGTGGAGTGAAGGAGGAGGATGGCGGGAGGGGAGGAGTATGGTGGGAGCAGATGAGGGCAGGAGAGGAGGGTGATGAGTCACTGAGACTCTGCGGCTTCTTCCTCCTTCTCCTGCTCTGACTGGGGGTTCCTCTTCCGCTGTTTGCTCCTCCTCCGTTGATGTTTGCTCTTCCTCCGTTGATGTTTGCTCTTCCTCCGTTGATGTTTGCTCCTCCTCCGTTGATGTTTGCTCCTCCTCCGTTGATGTTTGCTCCTCCTCTGTTAATGTTTGCTCCTCCCCCGCTGTTGTTTGCTCCTCCCCGGCTACCGGCGGTTGTGAAGAAGCTGCTTCTGCCGTCCCGCGACGAAAAAATGAATCCAGTGTTGACTGCTTGATGTTACTCTTCTTCTCCTTATAGATCTCAGTGTAACAACCAAGACTGTCATCAATGCTGTGTTGAACCTTTGAGCTACGTTCTCTGTTTGGGTCGTCATCTATAAGGATTTGCATTGCTTGCTGGAATATGTTGAACGCTTTGGGTCGTCATCTATAAGGATTTGCATTGCTTGCTGGAATATGTTTAACGCTTCTGCCATCCTCTTGGAAGTTAGCGTTCATTAAGGTTCTTCTTCTTAGTCGTCGTCGTCTTCAACGGGACTGTATTCTGTTAACAGTTGCGGATCTTCGTTGTTGAGCTCTTCTGTATGGGATGCCAGAACGTCCTCAATATCCTCTGATTCCAGCTCATCAAAGCCTGCCTGTCTAGCCATACTGAGGATATCCCTATTCACAGCTGGGACTAATTCCGTGAATCCTGTAAAACTGTTGACGCACTCGGGCCACAGTTTACGCCACTCACCATTCAGGCAACTTTCTGAAACCTCTTCCCATGCCTTGCCAATGTTGTCAATTGCATTAAGAATGTTGAAGCCACTCCAATATTTTCGGATCGTAGGTTTATTTTCTCCGTCTATAGCCTTGAGCAGCTGGGCCATGGTATGGCATAAATAATACGCCTTGAATGCGGAGATGATGCCTTGGTCCATAGGCTGCATCAGTGCTGTCATGTTGGGAGGCAGCAATACAACTTTTACACTGTCATGCAAGTCGTCGAGATTGGGAGGATGAGCTGGAGCATTGTCAAGGATCAGAAGAATTTTGAAGTCAAGGTTCTCCTTGGCACAGTGTTCCTTCAGTGTAGGGATGGCGTACACGTTTAACCACTGGATAAATATGGCACCGGTTATCCATGCCTTCTTGTTTGCCTTGTAAATGACAAGAAGATGATCTTTAAAGTAACCTTTCAGGGCCTATGGGTTAGCAGCGCGAGAAATCAGCATAGGCTTCAGCTTGAAGTCGCTGGCAGCGTTCGCGCCAAGCAGCAGTGTCAAGCGGTATTTTGCCGCCTTAAAACCTGGCGCTCTCTTCTCCTCATTGGAGATATAGGTCTGCTTAGGCATCATCTTCCTAAAAAGACCAGTCCCATCCACATTGAAGACTTGCTTCGGTGAGTAGCCTCCTTCCTGGATAATCTGCTTGAATTCTGGCGGGAATGTCTTGGCAGCAACCGTATCTGAACTGGCAGCTTCACCAGTCATCTTAATACAGTAGAACGTCGATATAACACGAGATACGTACCAAGAGAGGTCGCTTTAAATCGAATTCGCACTAAATCGAAGTGTTGTTTCAATGGAATAATTTAGTTTGGTACTTGCGAGAAACACAAAATATTAAAAAGACTGAGAGTCTACCCAGATGCACCTCAGCCCATCTCCTAGAATAAACAAAACATTGGTTTTTGTAGTACAGTATTATGTTAAAACAAACACTCATAAATCAACGCAGCTAAAATTATGGGACGTCAAATGGTCTGTTTAATAGCGATCAGCTGATTGGAAGATGGGAGTTGGGGAGAGGTGAGGTGATATGTTTGACAGTTGATGCCAAGGTCTAGTGCTTATTTATTTATCTGTCCTTAAGAGTGACTAAGTTTTTCTCTTATAAAATGTCACTGAACTGACATGATCTAATTAATTTTATTATTCGCAGATGACACCCTGGATGTACCCAAAAATGTCTGTGGGTAGTTTTAAAGTTGCCGGAATTTTCGTGGCCTGGACAGGGAGCCATATGTTATCGAGACAGTAATTTCCTTTACCTGTATTGTATACGTGTGTGTGTGTGCAGACACACACGCGCACACACACATATAAACAATACTGTACAGGTAAAAGAAATAATTGTCCTAAGGGCAATCACATTAAGGGAATATTCATTTCTTTGGACACAAGTAAAAACGTATCCCCCACTGATCAGCAAATGTTAATCGTGGATTTGGCGATTCACGGCCATTTTGAGAACCTAACGCCCACGAATTTTAAGGGCTTGCTGTACTGATATTAGCGAGTCCACTGAGGTGATCTTGTGCCATTGTAGATCTGAGATAGGTCTTTATGAGCTTGAGGTTTGAAAAGCTTCTCTGTTGATGTTACTGTTACTGGGAGAGTGCAAGCAATCTGCAGTGCTATCCAAAGATTAGGATAGATTTCTTTTAAGTGCTTCTGATGGAGCTAAGTTAGGAGTCCAAGTACAGCACTGTCTTGTTGTCTTTCATCTTTTTCTGCAAATTTGGAAGATTCACAATTTCAGTGACCAGATCTCTCCCAATAATATCAGCTTCCCCTCCACAGCTTAACATTTATCACACGCCTCTGTCACTGCCTTATTGACCATATTGGCAAGTTGTGCAACACGACACATCGGAATTGAAAAACGAATCCTACTAAACAACAAATTTGTATTGTATTCAGGAAAGGACCCTTAAGTGATGGGGGCCCACATGGCTGGGGCTGGCTCTGGATGATCCTCTCTGGTCTCATCAAGAACAGTTGAAAGATTCTCAAGTATGGCAACATTTCCTGCGTTGACTTTCCTTTGCCAATTCTGGAGCTTAACAAGAAATGCACAGAGACAGTCCATGAGGTGAAACATGTTTGTATCCTTGCATTGTAACTTGAGATTCAGCTTGTTTAGCTGCTCAAATATATCTGCTAGGTATGCAAGATGTGGCTCACACAAAACCTCATAGAAGTGACTCAATAAATCATCCTTGCCTTGTATTTCCAGGAACATCTTGAGCTCTCATTGAAGTTATAAAACGTGTTTCACAACTTTGCTCTTGGAAAGCAATTGCACTATAGAATAATACAGGAGGGTTTCGAGCTCTGAATTCATGCCTTCACAAAGGTATTTGGAAAAGGCGGAGTTCAGAGCTCCTGCTTTCACATAGTTGACACATTTGACCACTGCCTCCAAGATCTTGCAAGGTGGACCAGGGAGAGTTTTTGATGCCAGTGTAAAGCGATGAATGTTAAAATGAACCACCTTGAAATTCAGAGCTATTTCTTGACAAGCTTCTGGAACCCCGATTTTGATCCAAGCATCGCCGGAGCCCCATCCGTACAGACTCCACAACAATTTTCCCAGATGATCCCGTTAACTTTAAAGAAATATGACAGTTTTGCCATCACATCTGCAGCTGTCTTGATGGTTTCAAGCGATGTACAGAACAGATATTTATCCTTGATGTCACATGAAAGAACATACCTAATAAACACAACCAGCTGTGCTCAAGACATCAGTCCAGAGTCTCATCCAGCTGGATTGCAAACATACCAGTTGGAGATGATTTGATCACCTGTATCAATTGTTCTAATATGTCATCAGACATTTCGCCAATTCACCATTTCACCGTGTCGTCTGACAAGGAAATTTGCTGCATCTTGCGGTCACTTGCCTCTCCGAGAACCCTCTTGGCCATTTTTATAGCACACGACTTGATTAAAGTTTCACCGATTGTGTGTGCCTTCCTCTTTGGTATTGTAAGAAAGAAGGGAAATTCTCTTCTACATCAAAATAAATAATATAACTTTTATTTATTACACAATTCCCAGATTTTCTTGAAACATATACAATACTACTACAGTTTATAAAAGCCCACCATAGCCACCTAAAATCTTGCTGTGGCCCCCTTGGCCCCAGTTTGAGAACCACTGAACTAGAGAGTGGAGATGACAAAGGAAATTTTATGTAATTTGATCTTAATTGAAGAAATCGCTCTAACTTGACTTTTATTAACCTGAGATGACCTAACATGACCTGTACTAACCTGAAGTGACCTAATATGGATCTTCTACCCCACAGAATGAACCAGAGAGTGGAGATGCCTCAGCCAATGGGCAGCCTGGAACACCAGCACCAAGCAAAGAGCAGCCCAAGCGACTTCATGTCTCCAATATACCATTTAGATTTCGTGATCCAGATTTGAGAAATATGTTTGGGGTGAGTAAATTTGGCACTGATTTTACAGTGCATGTGACTATTATTTAGCTCAGATTGTCATGTGATTTTTAATTGGATAAGATTTTGCTAAAATTTAGTGTGTATAATAAGGCACTAGTGTGTATAATAAGGCACTAGTATGTATAATAAGGCACTAGTGTGTACAATAAGGCACTAGTATGTATAATAAGGCACTAGTGTGTACAATAAGGCACTAGTGTGTATAATACGGCACTAGTATGTATAATAAGGCACTAGTGTGTACAATAAGGCACTAGTATGTATAATAAGGCACTAGTGTGTATAATAAGGCACTAGTGTGTATAATAAGGCACTAGTATGTATAATAAGGCACTAGTGTGTATAATAAGGCACTAGTGTGTAGTGTGTATAATAAGGCACTAGTGTGTATAATAAGGCACTAGTGTACTAATAAGGCACTAGTGTATAATAAGGCACTAAGGCACTAGTGTAATAATAAGGCACTAGTAGTAGGCACTAGTGTGTATAATAAGGCACTAGTGTGTATAATAAGGCACTAGTATATAATAAGGCACTAGTGTGTATAATAAGGCACTAGTATGTATAATAAGGCACTAGTGTGTATAATAAGGCACTAGTAATAATAAGGCACTAGTGTGTATAATAAGGCACTAGTGTGTATAATAAGGCACATAGCACTAGTATGTATAATAAGGCACTAGTAAGGCATGTATAATAAGGCACTAGTGTGTATAATAAGGCACTAGTGTGTATAATAAGGCACTAGTGTGTATAATAAGTATAATAAGCACTAGTATGTATAATAAGGCACTAGTGCACTAGTGTGTATAATAAGGCACTAGTGTGTATAATAAGGCACTAGTGTGTATAATAAGGCACTAGTATGTATAATAAGGCACTATGTGTATAATAAGGCACTAGTGTGTATAATAAGGCACTAGTGTGTATAATAAGCACTAGTGTGTATAATAAGGCACTAGTATAATAAGGCACTAGTGTGTATAATAAGGCACTAGTGTGTATAATAAGGCACTAGTGTGTATAATTATGTGAATAATAAGGCACTATGTATAATGTATGTATAATAAGGCTCTAGTATATAATAAGGCACTAGTGTGTACAATAAGGCACTAGTGTGTATAATAAGGCACTAGTATGCATAATAAGGCACTAGTGTGTATAATAAGGCACTAGTATGTATAATAAGGCACTAGTGTGTATAATAAGGCACTAGTATGCATAATAAGGCACTAGTGTGTATAATAAGGCACTAGTGTGTATAATAAGGCACTAGTGTATAATAAGTCACTAGTATGTATAATAAGGCACTAGTGTATCTAATAAGGCACTTGTGTGAATAATAAGGCACTAGTGTGTATAATAAGGCACTAGTGTGTATAATAAGGCACTAGTGTGTATAATAAGGCACTAGTGTATAATAAGTCACTAGTATGTATAATAAGGCACTAGTGTATCTAATAAGGCTCTAGTGTGTATAATAAGGCACTAGTGTGTACAGAATAATAAGGCACTAGTGTGTATAATAAGGCACTAGTATGTACAATAAGGCACTATGTGAATAATAAGGCACTAGTGTGTATAATAAGGCACTAGTGTGTATAATAAGGCTCTAGTGTGTATAATAAGGCACTAGTGTGTATAATAAGGCACTAGTGTGTATAATAAGGCACTAGTATGTATAATAATGGCACTAGTGTGTATAATAAGGCACTAGTGTATAATAAGTCACTAGTATGTATAATAAGGCACTAGTGTATCTAATAAGGCTCTGGTAGTGTATAATAAGGCACTAGTGTACAGAATAATAAGGCACTAGTATGTATAAGGCACTAGTATGTACAATAATGCTAATTGTGTATAATAAGGCACTAGTGTGTATAATAAAGGCTCTATGTGAATAATAAGGCACTAGTGTGTATAATAAGGCACTAGTATGTATAATAAGGCACTAGTGTGTATAATAAGGCACTAGTGTGTATAATAAGGCACTAGTGTGTATAATAAGGCACTATGTGAATAATAAGGCACTAGTATGTATAATACGGCACTAGTATATATAATAAGGCACACACAGTATGTATAATGAGGCATTAGTGTGTATAATAAGGCACTAGTGTGTATAATAAGGCACTAGTATGTATAATATGGCACTAGTATGTATAATAAGGCACTAGTATGAATAGTAAAGCACTAGTATGTCTGATTATACCAGTAGTCTCCAACCTTTTGTCACTGTAAATATAGTGGAGGGTGCCAAAACTTTGGATCTACATTCAAGAAAATTAATCTCATATATACTGTACAGTTACTTGCAGCTTTACACGCTAACTTGTTACCACTTGTGTACTTTTTACATTTACTCTTGTATTAAGTATTCTTAAAATTATATATATATATATATATATATATATATATATATATATATATATATATATATATATATATATATATATATATATATATATATATATATATATATATATATATATATATATATATATATACGCTATGACTTGTGATAAGGAGACAATATTGTTATGATTTAAGGGCAATAAGAGTTATCACCTACCAAATTGTGGGTAGCATACAAGAATTAAATCTAAATTATTACGAATAAGTAGGTAGTGACATATTGGTTAGTGACTCCCTGTGGTAGGAGGTCCCTGAGTGAAGACAATAGTGTTGAAGGGTGTTAGTGTTGGGACAGTAACACAGTTTACAGGAAGAGAAGTGTGGGTCATCCCCCACCTCAGATACATGCCAGATAGGTCTGCATCCTAACTTAATGCGAGAAGAAACAACATTATGTCTGTGGACCATAAGTTCACGTCAACGATACTTGTGTGGATGAGGAAGAAAGTGATCATAGTGTTGGATGGATATATTCTCAACCCGTTCACCATCCCTGCGATGGACTGTAGGGAGAAGAGTGGCTGAATGTATTCTCTTGTGGTAGGTTATGTTGGGTTTATATTTAAGCCTAAAAGAACCTGATTGGACAACCATGGTTTTAAGAATCAGTTATTAATTAATCTCAAAAGAAAAAATTGCAAATAAACGTGTGCCATGTTGTATCTTTTATTTTAATCTTTAGTTAAATAGTTTTTATTATAATTAACTGTGGATTTATTTTAATATTTGAGACAATTAATATTTTTTTTGTTACTTTTTAATTTTAGTACTTGAGTATTTTAAGAATGAGATACTTTTTTACTTCTACAGTACTTGAGTAACATTGACATTTGGATACTTTTATTTCTACTTGAGTAACATTTTGTCAATGTAACAATACTTTTAATTAAGTAACGAAGTCCAGTACTCGGAGCTCATTTTAAGAATGCATAATCCAAGAGTAAATGTAAAAAGTATGTAACTGTTAACAGTTAGACAGGTAAAACTGCAAGTAACTGTACAGTATATATGAGATTCAAGGGCAGATCCTGGGTGTTCCTGGGGGTCCAGATCCCCCCATTTTCATCAGAAAATTACATTACAGTGGTCCCTTGGTTAACGAACACAATTGGTTCCACAGAGTCGTTCGTTAACCAAATTTATTATTTCAATGGGATATTGGGTAATTGGTTCCAACTCACAGAAAAAGTACATACGAAGTACTGTATACCGGTAATAGAATTAATAAAACATTAAATATAAACTAAATACTGTACTGTACAGTATACAGTACAGCCACTCCTCGACTTACGACGGGGTTAGAGACCCAAATCCAGGTCGTTAGTCTAATTGATCGTACGTCGAAAATGCTTAAATTACACATAGAAAATCTAAAATGGTTGTCTCTTTTTCTTCTCAGCACCACGAGAACTCTCACTTTTAAGCTTGCCAGCCATTTTAAAGGGACTTACAAACGAAAATTTTGTCAGTATACAGCGCAATCACTAACGTCGGGACTCGAAAATATGTAATTTGAAAAATTTTTGGTACGGCTGGGGCGGTCGTATGTCCGGGTGGTCGTAAGTCGAGGAGTGGCTGTACTGTATAATACTGTAATGAACAAAAAACAATAGAATACTATATTTTAACTGACCTTGAGGTATGTATGTCGTATTCCCGGCAGCTTTGTTTACATATCAAACAGCTGATTGTAGAGGTAGTCGATGATGACATGCCATATTCTTTACAGAGTGCATTGGTTCTAATGCCTTCTTTGTGTTTCATAATAATTTCTGCACTGTATATAATCAATATGTTAACTAAATTTCAGAATGACCAATAATTTTAATGTAAAAATGCAAAAATATTCAAGAGACCAACAAACTCAATGTTCACTCCACTGTAAACAAAGTTAAACTGAGAAGGGTTGTTGGGTGATTCAATCAGCTGATTGGCACGCAAAAACTGTTCCCTGTACTGTATATATTATCAATATGTTAACTAAATTTCAGAATGACCAGTAATTTTAATATAAAAAATGCAAAAATATTCAAGAACACAACTTTCTTGATAATTTACTACACTGGAAACGAATGTAAACATAGAACTGATTACTGTATTGGCGGACTAGCCGATCAGCTGATCGCCTGATACGCACAACAAAACGTGTTTGTCGTAAGGATTTCGTTAATCAAAGTTTTATTCGTTAATCGAACTGAAAATCCTTATGGGAGCTAATTCGTTAACTGAGGGACCACTGTACTTTTTTTTAATGCAGTATTGTACTCAGGCGTTTTTGTATAGTAAAAAGTATTTATTATTGACTTCAGAATATCTCCTAATATTAAGTGTACATGGCTTCAAAATGGCCATGATATTGGTCAGATTTCAAATTTTTTTGGGGGGCCAATTTCTTAGAGCCCCCCACCCTCCCTTTTGATATTCCTGGATCTGCCCCTGAGATTATTTAGTCTCTCTCTCTCTCTCTCTCTCTCTCTCTCTCTCTCTGGTGAAAATATACAGGTCCTGTATACAACAGATGCGCAGTTCGTCTCTCTCTCTCTCTCTCTCTCTTTCTCTAAATATAAAGTCTTATTATTACATATTTTCATTAATTTCACTGTGACAAAGACTCCTAAATATTTCGCAACTTTCTAATAAACCCTCATAGGCTTCATAATATGGTTGGGGACCACTAAATTATACACTAGTGCCTATAATTAGCCACTGTTCTCTCAATAATAACACATGTATTTGTTATTATTTATATCTGCAGAAATTCGGCACAATTTTGGATGTGGAAATCATCTTTAATGAGCGTGGATCAAAGGTATGGCTATAGTAATAGGTTATACAGTATTTAGCAATATTTAAGGTATTTTAGTCTATATATAGCTTGTATTTGACTATATTTAACTTTGTTTGGATAATTTACTTACAATACACTGTGGTAAGCTACTGAATGGATATATAATGTTATATTAAATAAAACTTAGGCAGTATTATAGATAAAGTAATACAGGTAAACCTAAAGATACTTTTGGGTTTATATTCCTGAAAATCACATCGCTTGGTGAATTATCTTAAATAGGGAGCATTATAACATGGGGTTCAATGGGATACGTTCCCAGCCAGTGCCCAAACATACGTGTATCACTGACAAAACAATTCCTACAATACTACTTGTTATGAAAATGCAGGTAAGCATTGGGAGTCTTTATCAACTTAATGCAACATTAGTGCCCATAGATCTGTAATAAACAGAATAAACTGTACCTGTAATTACAATTTAAGCTTCAAGTAACAGAATTGGCTTAACACAAATAAACATAACATAACATAATATAAGAAAACTTCAAACAATATAATCTAGAGCACTTAACCAACTGAGCATAACACACCACTACTGTCAGTATAAAACAATTAAACAACTCTCACCACATCCTGAAGAATAAGCCTGGTCATTATCACATGTTCCCGCTTGCTGTTTAACAGTGTCAAGCTTCATCTCAGAGACACGGTTGTTTTGGATGCATTGGCCTTCCCAGACATTGTCAAAGTTACACTGCTCACTTCACAGTCACAAAAATAGAGCAAACGACAAAAACAATGATAGCGGCCGACACTGCTCACATTTTCAAAACAACAGAGTCGACGCATCTTAGTCACAAAAACACAGAAAATATAATTTCACAGTAACCATGACACAGTTTAATCCAAATGTTAGTGCAGTCATCTCACTATAAGAAGAAACCCCACCAATGATAAATACAATGTATGATACTGGTCGATAATAGTGGAGCCATGTAGTGGTGGGTTTACAATCGACAAAGAACCAAGCACAGGGCTGTAATGCCTGGGCTGGTCGTGTGGTGGTGCAAGGGGTATAGGCTTACAAGCTAAGGTTGGGATGCCTCTTACATAGGGATAAATATTGTATCCTTATAAAATATCACTGACTTGATGCACAAAAATATAATTGGCATTGCTGGAATTCTTGCAAGTCAGCAATTAATTTGAGTATATACAACCCATAATTTGCACTCAAGATAACGAAAATTCCAACCAATGGCGATTTATTTTATTGTACAGTACTGTATATACCGGATAGTAAGATGGTCTTAATTTATGACCATCGTTATAGTGAAATATCGCTGATCGGGTTATTGTCTTTTGAGGTTTACCTGTACAGTATCTGCAGGCCAGAATTCTTCTTAGCCTGAACTCTACTATAATTGCAATTGAAATTTGATTAAAATTTTTCCAGAAAATTCTGAGTTTGGGAAAACAAATTTTGAGGTTGAGAATTAGGTGCATTTTCTGGAAAATTCCAAGAATAATTCCAGAAATTTTCTCAAATGTCTGTGGGTAGTTTTAAAGTTGCTGGCATTTTCGCAGCTGGGACAGGGAGCCATTTGTTCTAGAGACAGTAATTTACTTTACCTGTATTGTAAATACAGTATGTGTGTGTGTGTGTGTGTGTGTGTGTGTGTATGTATGTATGTATGTATGTATGTATGTATGTAGACACACACACACACACACACACACAAAATATATACAAATAAATAATAATGGGAATATACTCTCACAAATAATCAGAAACAAATTTATTAAAAATGTGAGTCTACCCTCAAGTCTGTGCTCTATTACTTTATTAATAAAGCATGGACTTGAGGGTAGACTCACATTTTTAATACATATGTTTCTCATTATTTGTGAGGGTATTTTCCCATTATTATTTATTTTTATATGTTTTGTGTGTGTGTGTGTGTCTACACACACACACATACTGTATATACAATACAGGTAAATAAATAATTGTCCTAAGGGCAAACACATAAAGGGAATATACATTTCTTTGTACTGTACACAGGTAAAAATGTACCCCCCACTGGTCAGCAAATGTTATTCAAAGATTTGGCAATTCGCAGCCATTTTGTAAACCTAACCCCTGCGCATTTGGGGGGCCCCCTGTACTTAGAAAATTCCCGGGATGGGCATTTTTTCAGGATTTGAGAGAGTCGTCTCGTTACCCAGAAATCTATCATCCCTGGAAGTGCTCTGCTCTAATTGCTCTGGCTAATGGGGATATAACTGTATTAGGTAACATTACAGAATTAGGTACAGTATTACTATATTTACTTTCGGGCAACACGGGAATCTTCAAATTCTTATCTTTACTGTAGGTGGTTTCAACAATTAATATGTAAGGTTAGGTTATTTGTAAGGGAAATTTCATAGAAGAAAAGTGTCTTAAAATCGTCTAAACTCTTGATTGCAGAGATAAAACTCCTAAGATTCCCATGTTGTCCAGAAGTAAAAATTTACCAACAATTATACAGTATTAATAACTTTCCTTATTAGGTTATACTTAAGGTATGTTAAGTTATGTTTTGCTCTGTTTAGCTATAGTATGAATGTAATTGAATATAATATGCTATTTTATTGATATTGTTGGCTATTTTAGGTAATATTTTGGAAATATTATACAGTATTGTATTATGCAATTTTATTTCCCAGTTAGGCTATATCTTGGATATATTTGGATGTGTTGACCAACCCTTAGCTCTCCTCCCCTCCACCTTCTCATTTCAGCACAAGCTTGTGTATGTCAGCATCTCAATATGGCAAAAGACGGCTCTATCACTACATTTGTTTGAATTTGCCTTAGATTTGACTATGTTTTGGGTATTTTAGGCTATAGTGTGTATATTTGGCTATAATTAAGATGTTTAAGCTTCATATAATTATAATAATTTTTATAATCTGGATACATTAAGCTACAGTTAGGCTATAGTATGTCCATACAGTAAACCCTCGATAACTCGGCACATATGGGGCTCTGGCCTTGCTGAGTTATCCCAAATACCGACTTATCGAGGCACTCCTCCCTCCTACAAAAATACAACAATAAAAATTATCGACCCATACATGTGTACATGTACATGTAATTATTAAATGTAAAAAATTAACACTTACCAGCACTACAGGCAAAAACTGAAGCATCATAGTTGGAGACACCGATGCATGGTAGGTGACACAAAGGTATGGTAGGTGACACAGAAATATGGTAGGTGACACAGATGTATGGTAGGTGACACAAAGGTATGGTAGGTGACACAGAGATATGGTAGGTGACACAGATGTATGGTAGGTGACACAGATGTATGGTAGGTGACAGAGGTATGGTAGGTGACACAGAGGTATGGTAGGTGACAGAGGTATGGTAGGTGACACAGAGGTATGGTACGTGATGCAGGTGGCCAGATATGCCAAGATTTTCCCAGATAATTTTATATATCTCGGCATTTCCCGAGTAATACTAATACATTCCGACACAATATCCATGCAGAATTATATTATATTCCGAGTTATCAAATGCTGAGTTATCGAGGGTTTACTGTATTAGTCATGATTTTGTATAGATTGTTGGCATATTATTTTGGCCAAAATTTGGGGTATATTTTTACTATGTTAAGGGACATTATGTTAAGTTAAAGTAAATTACTGTAAATTAGGTTAAATTGCATTCAATATTGTTAATTTATTTTGGATTAGAATAAATTAAATTAGATTAGGTTAATTTATGCTAAATTACATGATCTTTAATAAAGCAGGCGAGGTTAGGTTAAGTTACAGTAGAGAAGGTTACTCTAAATTGGTTTTTATATGGTTGAATTAGGTTAAATTACATTACATTAGGGATGGTTACTCTAAATTGGTTTTGATCAGGTTGGATTAGGTTAAATTACATTACATTAGGGAAGGTTACTCTAAATTGGTTTTTATATGGTTAAAGTTAAATTAGATCAAGCTAGATTAGCTTAAATTATGGAAGTTTACATTAAGGTCAGTTCTGAATAGGTTAAATTGGCATAAGTTACAGTAAATCTAGTTTTAGTAAGTTAATGTACATTTCCCTTTTACCATATTTTAACTAATAAATAATTTTTCAGGGATTTGGCTTCGTGACCTTCGCTTCAGCTGGTGATGCAGACCGGGCCAGGGAGTCACTGAACGGCACAGTTGTGGAAGGTCGCAAGATTGAGGTAACACGCCTGACGTCAAGGGTACACACCCTGACGTCGAGCTGACAGTCTTAATTCAAGCTGACAGCATTACGTTAAGCGGACAGTCTTGACAGTTTTGCCTTGAAGATGACATATTTTACAGGTTTTGCATCAAGCTGAGTTAGAGTCATGCAATATTTTGGGGGAATCTGGTGTTGTGTTTTCAAGCTGACAAGCTGACCATTAAGCTGATATTCTTGACAGTCTGTCATCATCAAGCTATGTTTTATAATCAAAACTAATAAATATTTTTTCCATCATTCCATTTTTTTGGAATGCGGATATTCTTTGCATTTAACTGACATATTATGACATCCTTAACAGTCTTCACATAGAGTTTACATTCTTAACTTTAAGCTGACTTACCTAACTAAGCTGACTCACTTAATGTGACTCCTTTTGCTTGTGTCCTTTAGGTATAGGTGTCACTATATTTAAGCTTGACTTTAAGCATTAAAGGTGACTTTTAAGCTTTTACTGCAAAATTAAGCTTGACTTTTGGACAATTCAAATTAATTAAACTTTGGCGGTGATTTACGCTGTATTTTTTAAGATGTGGCATTTTTTTTTTTATTCATTGTGTTTGTATACATCCAGGTGAACAATGCAACAGCTCGCGTCCAAACCAAGAAGCCTGCAGCTGCTGTTCCCAATGGTAAGTAAACAAAGTGCATTTGTTTTGTGCTGTAAAGTCTAGTTTTTTCTGTGCTGTATTTCCCCTTTTTTTTCTCTTTTCCCAAATTTTACTTTAAATTCTGTTATTTTGTTGTCTCTTCCCCTATTTTTTTTTGCTTTAATTCCCCTTATTGTTGCTTTAATTCCTATTTTTCTATTGTCAGTCCTGTTTCTTTATGCTTTAAATCCTATTTTTCTCTGTTTTTGTGTGTTTTTTTGCCGAATTTCACCAATTTTCTGCTTTTTCTTTTCTCTCTTCTTTGCCAGAATTTTTTTTCCTGTGCTGTAAGTCCAGTTTATTTCTGTTTCTCTGTTTTTTATTTATTTATTTTTTTGCAATTTATCCTCTTTTTTTCTTTTTCTTCTTTCTACTCTTTTATCCTTACCTTTTCCTCAGACAATGTCTTGTTACGGGGCGTTGAGGGTTAAAAAGCCCCGTAACAGCCCATAACGACCCGTAACAGCTCTACGTAACGCCTCCCTCTCCTTCTTCCTCGACACTGATGCGTTACGTCACATGAAGCACATTAATCATCACATAAAAATGTAACTGTAGCTGTCACATCACAGAAACATAATGTTACCTCTGTTACATTACACAGAACACTCAAATGTCACAAAAAAGGTAACATCAGCTATGTTACATCACATAAAACACTCAACTGCCACAAAAAATGTAACATCAACTATGTTACATCACATAAAACACAGAAACGTCACAAAAAATCTAACATCAGCTATGTTACATCACATAAAACACAGAAACTTCACAAAAAATGTAACATTAGCTATGTTACATCACATAAAACACAGAAACGTCACAAAAAATGTAACATCAGCTGTGTTACATTGCATCAAAAAATAAGTCATAAGAAAAATCTGTAATGATCTGTTACTTAAAAAAGAAATAGATGCTTCCCTATCAATAAAACAACAGAACTAGGCACCGCAAGATGCAGTTTAGGAAATGGAAGTATTACCTGCGGTGACCATCAATCTACAGGGTGTCTCATAAGGTGTGCGACCTATGAGACACCCTGAACATGTGTGTGTATGACCATTGAGACACCCTGAACATGTGTGTGTATGACCATTGAGACACCCTGAACATGTGTGTGTATGACCATTGAGACACCCTGAACATGTGTGTGTATGACCATTGAGACACCCTGAACATGTGTGTGTATGACCATTGAGACACCCTGAACATGTGTGTGTGTATGACCTTTGAGACACTGTGTGTGTGTGTGTGTGTGTGTGTGTGTGTGTGTGTGTGTGTGTGTGTCCTATGATACACCTTTTATATTTGTGTGTATGACTTATGAGACACCCTGTATGTGTGACTTATTAGACATCCTGTATGTGTGTCTTATGAAACACCCTGTATGTGTGACCTATGGGACACCCTATGCATGTGTGTGTGACCTCTGAGACACCCTGTATGTGTGTGCACGACCTATGAGACTCCCTGTACATGTTTGTGATCTATGAGACACCCTGTACACGTGGGTAACCTATGAGACACCCTGTACATGTGTGCACGACCTATGAGACACCCTGTATGGCTTTTTGGAATGCGTTTTCTATGTAATAGGAGCATGTTAAAGAAAACGTTAAATTGGGTTAGAAAGTAACATAGTTTAGCTTCTAAATGGTTCGTTTTCTATGCAACAGAAAACATGGTGCACTGGTATAGCCTTTTAATGGTTCGTTTTCTCTGCAACAGAAAACGTGATGCACTGGTTTTTAGCTAATTCATGGCTTTATGTCTGTCTGGATGGGATGTCTTAAGTCTACGTACACACAGACACATGTCTACACTCACCCAGAGAAATTTGTCTATACACAGCATGAACCTATGTATATTGAGACAATCTTAGACACACATTCCATGTTCTTTACCTCAATTAACCTCATTTTCTACCACTTCATTCCTTAACCTGTCTAATGGCTACTTTTAGACATAAGTGTCAAGCATGTTTGATTTTAGACATTACAGTATTTAGAAGTTTAGACAATATTGTGTCTAAAATATCTTGAAATTGGTAAATTTGCTTTTAGACATTTTGCTGCATGTCTGATTGATTTTAGACATTCAAATTGGTTTAATGTTCAAATTAGATATTGAAGTTGCTTAATTTAGACACTTTAGACTATTTAGACAATAGTATATGTCTAAAATATCTTAAAATTGGTTATTTTGCTTTTAGAAAAATTTTGCTGCATGTCTGATTGATTCTAGACATTGAAATTGGTTTAATGTTCAGTTTAGACATTTAAGTCTAATTTGAACACAATTTTAGACATAATTGATATATAAATGGTTTAGACTTCTTGTTAAACCATAGTTTTATTTATTTAATAATTCATGCATGTCTTATTTTAGTCATTGGTTTATAATTTGGTTTTTGTGTCTAAAAGAAACATATTTTAGACATTATGGTTTAGAATTGTATATATTCTTAGAGCTTGTTAAACCTGAGACAAAAATATGGTTTATATTTGGTTTATTTAATGAAATGAAAAAAATCTGTTTTATTTAAAAAACGAATCTGGTCTGTTTTTTTGTTTATTTTATAAAATTGGTTTGTTTAAAAAAATCAAAATATTCTGGTTTATTTTTGGTTTATTAAAAAATCTGGTTTATATAAAAAAGAAAAACCTTGTTTGTTTTGTTTTTTATTTACAAAATAAAACCAAAAGATAATTTTGGGTTTATCTTTTGTTTATTGTGAAAACATCTCCAAGAAACCTGTTTGAATTTTGTTTACTTTTGGCTTGGGTGGCAAAAAATCACCTGAATGTTAATTAAACCACAAAGGTGGTTATGTGTTGTAGTTTTATCAGCTTGTTTTATTTTCAGTTTTAATTACAGTATATACTAAAACCTGTCAACAACTTAACTAACACAGCTGTGGTTTATATTGGTTTAAAAAGTCTCGAGTGTTTATAGTTTGGGTGTAATGGATCTGAATAAAACACACACACACACACACACTGACCAAGGTGTTGTTGACAGGTTGTGTTTGTGCCATAAATCATAAGTTTGGTTTTTTCTGTGTTTGTTTGGAGGTGTGATGATGTTTCTATCTATCTATCTATCTATCTATCTGTCTGTCTGTCTGTCTGTCTGTCTGTCTGTCTGTCTGTCTGTCTCTGTCTATCTATCTATCTATCTGTCTGTCTGTCTGTCTGTCTGTCTGTCTCTGTCTCTGTCTGTCTTCTATCTATCTATCTATCTATCTATCTATCTATCTATCTAACTATCTATCTATCTATCTATCTATCTATCTGTGTCTGTCTGTCTGTCTGTCTGTCTGTCTCTGTCTCTGTCTCTGTCTGTCTATCTATCTATTATCTATCTGTCTGTCTGTCTGTCTGTCTGTCTGTCTGTCTGTCTGTCTGTCTGTCTGTCTGTCTGTCTCTGTCTCTGTCTCTGTCTATCTATCTATCTATCTATCTGTCTGTCTGTCTGTCTGTCTCTGTCTCTCTCTCTCTCTCTCTCTCTCTCTCTCTCTCTCTCTCTCTCTCTGTCTGTCTGTCTGTCTGTCTGTCTGTCTGTCTGTCTATCTGTCTGTCTATTACCATAAAACACACGTCATCACATCTCAAGAAAAACAAGGGAGAAAAACTACAGCATATGACATGTAGCGTAAAACATTGCTAGTATATTAGGGTTGTGAAAAACACATATTTTGACGTGTAAATTTGTGTATGTTTAGTACAAAAACAATGCTGTGTTTTTTTTTTTGGATTGATTTACACATAAGATCACCTAAATGTGATTATGTTTGTTTGTTTTATAACATGTAAATCAAATGAACCACATCAGATCGCCCCGAAACAATTTACATTGGGGTGTTTTGCAACCTAAATGAAACTCACATTTCATTTATCACCCAAATGTAAATACGGGTGATTTTTCATGTAAATCAAACATAATTTACGTGATTTAAATTGTTTTTTTTTGTAGTATTACTGGCTAGAAATGGAATGGTGCCGTCAGCTGTAGGTGAGCGTTTAACTACCTCCAGTTTAGCCCTTTCTTGGTGTCTGGTTCTATGTGGATCATGTTTGGTGTTTGTTTCATGCTGAATAATATAATGCGCTTCTGTTTTTCTTGTGTTTTTTTATGTATGTGTGTTTGTTTTATGCTAGTTGTTAAAACCTTTTGTTTTTCTTGCTTTTGAATGTTTCTTTTACATGTAAATTCTTTCTTGGTGTTTGATGCTTTTATTCTTCTGTTTTTTTTGGCAATTACTTTTATTTTGTTTAATTGGTGTTTGGTTCACTGGGGGGGGGGATGTTGAGTGTTTGTGTTTTGATTGGATATTTGTTTTTACTCTTCCATTTTTTCTGTTTCCTTTGATTGTTCATTTTCTGAAGGTGAATACGGGTTTTTTAATGTTTGAATGTTTGTTTTACACTGATCGAATGTTTGTTTTACACTGACTGTTTTTCATTTTTCATTCTGACTGTGTATGATTTTGTCCTTGTGTTTGGATCAATTTGGATGAATTTTAATGTTTAATTTTTGGTTTATCGAATGTTTGTTTTATCCTGAATGTATGTTTTACACTTTTTTTACAATGTTCTGTTTATATGCCTGAAGGGGAATGTTTCTCAACTTTAATGGTGTTGGGATCTTCCTGGACGATATCTTTTGGTTTGAATAATTTTTTACTAAGAGTTCTTGTGTGTTTCTCTTGTTTTATTTACTTTATGCTTGTTTTACAATGAATGTATCTTGATGTTGAATGTGTATGATAATTGGTGTTTTTTGTTTGTTGAATAATGAATGATTTTTTTTATATATGAAATGTCTGTTTTACACTAAATCTATTTTTCTTATTTCTGCTTAACATTTGTCACTCTTATGCATCAGTGTTTTTTTTTGTTTGAATGTGATTTATTTTTTTTGTACATGTTTGTTCTTAGTTTGTAGATTAATATAATTTCTTTCATTTGGACTGAAATTTTTTTGCTTGGCTTAAATTTTACTCTGTTTTTGTCTAATATTAAAATGTTTAACTCAACTTTTATTATTTTAAACAAAAAAACACTGGATGCTTACAAATTTAGGAACCATTTAAGTAATATTTTAAGGATATTTAAGTTATTTAAAATTTTAATGTACAGAGTACAGAGTACAATGAATATTAAGAGACATTTAAAATAGTTTTGAATTTTGGTGAACAAAAAAATCACAATTTTAATTATTTTAAGCTATTAGAATTTTTAGGTCTTCAGGTAGCTATTAATTTTTAGTGTTTTAATTATTGTTTTATTAACTTTAAAACATCCAGGTGTTTTTGGTTTAATTCTGTTTTTTTTCATGTTTTATTGTTTTTCTTGCATGGATATTTGTCAGTCTCTTTTAACTGTAAAATTAATAAAACACATTAAAACACATAGCTTGTCTTAAATAGTGTTTTAATGGTTTAACATGTCTGTTAAAACACGCAGGTTGTTTTAATGTTATTCTATGTAAATAAAACAATAAAACACGTGGCTTGTTTTAACGTACCCGCTTAGATTAAAACAAACACGTGTTTTAGTATAAGGTATTCCACATTAAACCACACACCATGTTTTGATAATTTTTTTATCGCACAAACAAAAAGTCTGTTAAAACAAATGGGTGTTTTTAATTACTGTCTTAAAGCACCACTTGGATTGAAACAAACGCGTGTTTTATTGCACAAACGACTTTCTTGTTTTAAATCATATGTTTGTGTGTGTATCTTTGTTTGTGGAGAATGTTTGTATAATGAATACTCCTAATACTACTACAGTACTACTACTACTATTGTTCTTATGCTACTACTACTACTACTATCTTTCTTATACTGTACTATTACTACTACTACGTACTACTACTTTTTTTTTTAATGGCCTCCATCCTCCCCTTATAGCCATACCTTTGCCGCCATTTTATTACCTTAAAATTAAATATCCTAATACATAAGTAGCTATCCTACCTGTGTTGAGTTAGTTGAACCGCAGATCTATGTGGCATTCAGTGACTGTTGCCTCATTGTCAATATCTGCAACTGTTGTCGGCTTTGGGGCCGATGCTCTCGTTACCCTAAGGCAGAGCAAAGCAGACCTAAGGAGAGAGAAGGGCAGTCGACATCTCATCCAGGCTGTAACATAACTTCTGGGCTGCTGCTTCTGTTCGGATAGCACCTCCGCGAGTTTGGCGTAGAAGCATATTCCACTTGGTCCCATCTCACCAGAGGTTGTGAACACTAGAGGAGTGAAGCTGCCTTGATCAACGTTCTGAATTCTCTCCCCGTATGCCCTTATCTTGTCATTCTCATTCCTCCTATGTGCAGCATCGAGAGCTAAGTTACGGTGACATGCGGCCATGGGATAAAAAATCATGATGTCGAAGAAGGCTCGTTGTCCCTGTGTTCAGAATCCTCGAGCACTGACGTTGTGCAGTGCGTCCACCAGGAGAATGGCCTCACAATCACGCTGCTCAAATATTGTTCTCATGGCGTGAATGGCAGCTTCCCCTCCAACCTGGTGGCCAGTACAAACTTGCAGGTTCCCTGCTGCTGCTCTGACATCATTTACCACCTCCATTATGCACTTTCCAATGATCCGCCTCAGCACTTCCCCCACCCCTATAGGCCTACATCCAGGATTCTTATCCAGGGGAATGAGACAGCAGGCTGTCAGAGCATGGAAGTGTTGGCAGCGCGAGGTTGCTAGCTTTCTTGCAAGGACAGCAATGGCAGTGCAGAGATCACTTGCTACGGGGCCAAACTTGGTAGTGCTGAGGATGACTCTCCAACCGTTTGCATCCGGGCCTGAAGGGCCTTCCACTCCCTGTGTCTTCACTTCTTTTTACCACACCATACCTCATGTTAATTTACTCAAACAGGACAGCATTTGGTGGGATATAGTCACCTTGGAACCTGATGCCTTCCTCTACACTTGCAGGGGGATGTTTTTCCTTTAGTTGGTGTAACGTCTCTCTCTGTCTATTGGCAGAACACCACCGGAGGATTCCTCTGTGAGAGATCTTACCACCGAAGACACTTTTCCCACACACATTTTGTTTCCGAACTTTCTTGCAACGTCATCGTTGTTTTGCATTCCGTCTCCGATAAATTTTAGTCTCCTGCAGTGTTCTTGCTTCACATAGGAGATCATCAAGGGCCCCATTCTGCCACATTGTCAATCTTCTCTTCATTGCTGCCACATTTTCTTTGTGCTTAGTCTTTGTGTGTGTGTCCTTTGACAGAATACATGTGGTATTATTGCCAGTATTTGAAGAGCTAAAGGGGCAAAGAAGGAGTCCTGAGTGTACTCGGTTATGAGGCGGTGGTTCAAACAGGTTAGCTGGCGACCACCTGACAATTTCTGAGTAAGTTTCTGTAACCCATATGTCCGCATTTTCCATCGACATGCCATTCCACTGTGGTGGCTGTCTGTCATTCACCTCGTGGACATCTGCTACTATTGGAGCAGCATTTATTGGTACTACATGTTCAGGTTAAGTAGACTCACTGCTATCATTTAGGATATCATCGGGCGGTTGGGTCCCGGCGATATCCACTGTGGCCTCCTGTGTCGGCTCCCTGCCATGTGGGTTCCGGCAATTGTTTCCCTTTCTGCAAACCACACATGGTCGGTTGTTTCTCGTACAATCCCACAGCTCGTGCAATTTCTGTTCTGGCTAGCACAGACGCAACAATGTCTGTTACCCGGCATAGTGTTCCGCACTTCGGGCGACAGTTACGTCCGCCTCCAACATCTGCTTTGGTCCCATACAGAAGAAGAAACTAGTTCTTATGAGGAAAGGGCAGAGAGGTGACAGACTGGACTGCTGTGTCTGCGTAGTAGGGGCATACGTGCGCGCTTGGGTGTGTAGGCCACACCCCTGAGGGTGACAATCCACACATACACTGGGAGAAAGAATTGTCACACCTAACACTTGTTTATATATCCTTGGCAGAAATAACCATTACTACTACTATCTTTCTTATGCTACTACTATTACTTTTTTTTTAAAACGTGTCCTCCATCCTCCCCCAATAACCACACCTTCGCCGCCATTTTATTACCTTAAAATTAAATATCCTAATACATAAGTAGCTATCCTGGTTGAGCCGCATTCAGTGACTGTTGCCTCATAGTCAATATCTGCAACTGTTGTTGGCTTTGGGGCCGATGCTCTCGTTCCCCTGAGGCAGAGCAAAGCAGACCTAAAGAGAGAGGAGGACAGTCGACATCTCAACCAAGCTGTAACATAACTTCTGGGCTGCTGCTTCTGTTTAGATAGCACCTCCGTGAGTCTGGCGTAAATGCGTCTTGCACTTGGTCCCATCCCACCAGAGGTTGTGAACACTAGAGGAGTGAAGCTGCCTCGATCAACGTTCTGAATTCTCTCCCCGTATGCCTTTATCATGTCGTTCTCGTTCCTCCTGTGTGCACCATCGAGAGCTAAGTTACGGTGACATGCGGCCATGGGATAAAAAATCCCGATGTCGAAGAAGGCTCTCTGTCCTCGTGTCCAGAATCCTCGAGCACTGACGTCAACACGGGCTTCGTTGTATGTGTTTGGAGTCCTATGTTGGAAATTCTCATCGTCCAATGGAAGGAGGGTCGGTTCTACCCTGACATCACGACAAATTTCCTTCAACATATTTGCTGTGAGATCCCTTACTTCGTCATGCCTCATGCATATGAAGCCCCCTTTCTTGCACACCATGGCGTGATCGACGTCATAGGAAGAGCCACACACGCATTGGGAGGGCAAACCTTCTGCTGGCCTACCGTACATTTATTGAGACTGAAACCTTTTGCCCTTATCAGTAACGTTTGCAACAGTTGCTGTAACTTATCACTTTGGCTGTGCTGTTGTTCTGTCGTAATGGACCATCGAATCTTGTTTACTTCACTGGTATCCACCTCACCTGTTGCATTCTGAGCTATATACTACTACTACTACTATCTTTCTTATACTACTACAATTTTATGATATTACTCCTTCTACTA